AGAACTATGGGATTTGAGGCCAATGGATGGGATTTAGCTAGAGTTATGGGCTCCGGGTTGGGAAAGACCGGGAGATTTGGGGGGTGGAGTCTGGGGTTTGGGGAGGACAAGCACTTCAGTGGGGTACAAGGCCATAAAGTCAGCCTTCCAAAGCAGCCATTTTTCTCCAGGTGAACTGATCTCTCTCGCCTAGAGAGCAGTTGGAATCCCAGTAGATCTCCAGCCACCACCTGGAGGTTGGCAACCTGCGATCTAGCCCTATTGAGCCTTGATTAAATGTAAATCATGAATACCTCCATCTGGTTTCCACAATGAAATGTAAGCCAACCTGATCAGAGTTGGGTTTCATTTGTTTTCAAACTTCAGCTTTCGACTTCAGTCTGAGGCCGGGGGCCGTGACAAGGCATCTGCTTAGGCCTTTTCTTCTGGCTGGGGCAAGAGGATCTCTTGGCTCTTCTGCCGGCCTCCTCCCCCCCCCCCTCCCCGCCACCCCGGCCCCCTCTGTGTGCCTTTTTCTACAACGAGAGAACAATGCGGGCATTTCTTGTCACGCTGAGGGGGTGGCTGCAGTTGGCATCCCAACCCTCCGGAGCGGAATGCGGAACGGAGGGATCGGGCAGATGTACAGAGTAAACAGAGGAGAGAGAGAGACCACTACTGCCAACTCCCCGGCCAGAGCCTGAGCTGTAAGGCTCACATTTCTGTGATGGGCTGAGCGACCTGGGGAGAAGAGCCAGGACCAATACTTCCTCTAAGCTGTGGAGTCTTGTGAGCAAAAATTCTACCTTGTGAGCTACCGCCATTAAAGTTGTGAGTGAGTGATTTGGCTGCTGCATAAATCAGTTTGCTCTGGAGCCCTCCTTCCTGAGCTAAGACAAAAATCCGTGAGCTGGAGGCTAAAAAACTGTGAGCTCGCTCACACTAACTCAGCTTAGAGGGAACCCTGGCCAGTCTAGGAGGGGGATCTCATGAGGGAGAACCAGAGCCTTAAGAAGTCCTCCTGCAATCTCTTCTTTTCCCTCCCAGCCTCTGACTCTTATTCCAAAGGCCAGGGCGCACAGTCTCTCCCAGCCTCTGGGTACGCCTCTGCTAAAAATCCACCAGGAAGAGCTTCCCCCAGCACTCCATCTCCTGCAGGAGAAATCCACACCATTTGAATTACTGCCTGCTGTGCTGATGTTAAACGTATGGGAGCCCTGACCACCCACAAATAAAACTTAATTCCTTCAGAGCCATCCCAAATTCCTTCTTAAGAGCTTCTAGTTATCCCAGGGGGCCCTTCTGTCTCTCCCTCTGTGCCCAATCCCCTTGATACGTTGGCTCTTCAATCCAGACTCTGATGCTCTGCGCAGTCCAGTTTTGTGCATATTTTCTCAGACGTCCTACTGAGTTCAATGGGGATTCCTCCACAGTGGCATTCTTATGTAAGGTTAAAAGGTAAAGGTAAAGGCTTCCCTTGCTCGAAAGCTAGTCAAATCCAACTCTAGGGAGCGGTGCTCATCTCCATTTCCAAGCCGAAGAGCCAGTGCTGTCTGAAGATGTTTCTGTGGTAATGTGGCCGGCATGACTAGATGCCGAGATGCACAGAACGCTGTTATCTTCCCACTGAAGCGGTACCTATTTATCTACTTGCAATTTCTTGCTTTCGAACTGCTAGGCTGGCAGGAGCTGGGGCCAGAGATGGGAGCTCACTCCCATCACACGGCACTCGGGTCTCGAACCGCTGAACTACAGACCTGTCAGTCTGCAGCTCAGCATCTTAACCTCTGAGCCACCGCAACCTCTATGTAAAGTTAAAGGTAAAGGTAAAGGTTCCCTTGCTCGAAAGCCAGTCGAATCCGACTCTAGGGTTGCGGTGCTCATCTCCGTTTCCAAGCCGAAGAGCCAGCGCTGTCTGAAGACGTTTCTGTGGTCATGTGGCCGGCATGACTAAACACCAAGGCGCACGGAACGCTGTTACCTTCCCACCGAAGTGGCGCCTATTTATCTACTTGCAATTTCTTGCTTTCGAACTGCTAGGTTGGCAGGAGCTGGGGCCAGAGACGGGAGCTCACTCCATCATGCGGCACCCAGTTCTCGAACTGCTGAACTACCGACCTTCCACAGCCTGCAGTTCAGCGTCTTAACCACTTGAGCCACCGCAGCTCCTTTATGTAAAGTTACTGAGGAGTAAATGTGATTGTGTATAACTGTGGACCCAGCATGGTGTAGGGGCTACAGCCCGGGCCCCCAAAGCAGCCTAGTGCCTGGTGCCCACCAAGCCTTTTTAGAAAGGGGGCGGGGCTTCTGACTGGCCATTGGAGAGTGGCTTGGCTGTGCAGTACTTTTTAAAGTTGCTTCCGCAGCAGCGGCCACCACAGTACAAAAATCTTACACGGCGTGGCCAAAGCAGCGCATACACAAGAAAACCTTTTTAAACGACATGTTCATTTTAAAATGGTATCCTGTTAAACACTGTTAACAGTTCTTCTGCCTAAATGCTGAAGAGTTACTAATAGAGTTGTTCATAACCCCACTCCTCAGCAGGAGGCAGGTCTCTCCCCACCAGTGGTCAAGTGGCAAGCCTATTTCTCAGCACAGCCTACCTTAAAAAAAAAAATGAACAGTTTTCACAGCAAAAGTTTTCACTCCTTATCTTATCACCCTCTCAGCATTTGAAGGTCTCCAGCATGAGATTGCCCTAGCTGGATCAGGTAAGTAGATTTAACTCAAAAGTATATTAAGTTATGATCAGGGGTCATTTCCTGCAGGAGCGCACAGGAGCGGAGCTCCAGCAGTAAAGAGCCCAGGGGGCAGGCACATGCCACAAGCCCCACCCCCTGCTCCCAGCAGCCCTCAGTCAGAGCAAGAAGCATTGCAGAGGCTCCCCCCGGCCCCCGGTCCAAAACAGTCCAGTGGCACCTTTAAGACCAGGTTTTATTCAGGTACAAGCTCTACCTCCTCTGCAAGGACAGATCTGCATGTGCCCCCCCCCCCATAGCTAGCAATCCAAAACAGTCCAGTGGAGCCTGAGCGGTGGGTGTTGCCTTCTGACACAATTCCGGTGATGTCAGGGGGTGTGGCATATGCAAATGAGTTATGCTAACTAGCTCCTGCACCTCTATTTCTACAAAATGACCCCTGGTTATGATAATGTGGATTTTTAGGTAGCACAGCCTACCTCACAGGGTAGTTGTGTGTGCACAAAACAGGATGGAGAATGATGCTGTAAGCTGATCCATTGGGGATAAAAGCGGGGTATAAATGCCTAAACAAATAAACGCGGTGGAGAAGAGCAAGAGAGTCCAGTAGCACATTAAAGACTAGCAAAATATGTGGCAGGGGATGAGCTTTCGTGAGTCACTGCTGCTCACATATTTTGTTAGTCTTTTAAGATGCTACTGGACTCTTAGTCTGTCTGTAGCAGCAGAAAAGAGCAAGATGGCTACCCATCTTGATCTATCTTCAAATAAATGTACTCGGCGATGCTTGCGGCTGCTAATAAAGCAGTTCTTTGTAGGGTTACACAGGAAAAAATCTCGCTTGAGCCTGCGATCCTATGGCCACATTTTCCCTGGAAGATAGCCCTAACGAATTAAAACGGAAATGGTATTGAAACACATAAACAGTACCTTTAAACAAATTAACCCCCCCC